AGTTGGAACACATACCATGACTACCTTTTTTGATGTAAAGGAGCTTCTGGGGGTTATAAGATTTTGTAAATCACTGAGTGTAGAATTTTGTTTTGGATTATCCTTAGGGTTCTTTTTAATTTTCCATTAATGTAGAAAAATAAATCATAATATTTTGCAAACTGGGAGGCTGAAGTCAGCATTATCATCTACCCTGTGACCTAAGAGACACCTGTCATGGGTAAAGTATAGGCTGGAAATCAGGCAGCCCAGAATTGGAGTCCGGGTTCTATCTTGTTAGCTGTGTGACCTTACACCAGTTACTCAGCTTCTCTGAGCTGTCTCACCCCCTGCATAGAAGAGGAACAGGCCTAGTAGCTCCCTTCTGGGGTTATTGTGAGGATTTAGCCATCCATTAAACAAATGCTTATTAAGCCATTGCTATGTCTCAGGCATATTCCAGGCACTAAGGGGATAACAGCGAACAGGACAGAAAGAGTATCCGCTCTCATGAAGCTTACGTTCCAGTAGTGGAGATGGACAAAAACACCAGTAAATGAGAAAACAATGCTAGGTAATGATAAGTGTTATGAAGAAAAGTGAAGCAAGGTGGAGGTTGGTGACGTTTGGGATAGGGTGATTAGAGAAGGCCTTTCTGAGGAGGTGATGTTGGAGAAAGACTGAGGAGGTGAGTGTGAAGTCTGAGGAAGGGGTGTTTCGGGCAGAGGGCAGTCATAGCAAAGGCCCTGAGGTGGGATCAGGTGTTGTGTGTATGAGGAACATAAAGGGCCAATGAGTTGGAGCAGAGTCAAAATGGGGAACAACAGGAGAAAATGAAATGAGTTTTGATCAGTGTAGGGCTCTGAGGTCTAAACCAGGAATCTCCCAGGGGACAGTCTTTGGGTCAGAAGCTCTCTCTCCTTTTCCATCATAAGGGTGGACACACTTCTTCCTCAGCTGGATACTACCTTTTAAAGGGAATGGTGGTGGGGATACCCTTGAGATGGGAGAAACCATTCTGTCAGGGAGCTTGAGCCTTGAATTGACTGAATATTTAGTCCACGTTGGCCCCATCTCATGGCTTCACCAAGGAGAGGCCTTTGCTGTCTTGCCTGGCTCTTTCTGTTGCTGGGAAATCCCAGGTTGTCTTTCAGAGAGCCATTGTGAACTTTAATTAAAGACTCAGCACTTTCTCTTTGGACATCTGCCCATAATGTTACTAAGGACACCCGAATCTGTTTGCCTTTAATCCACTTCCTGAGGGCCCAGGAAAGCCCGACAGCTTTTTGTGAGAGCAGGAAGGAAGGTGATGTGGGCTTGGCAGGAGTTGAGAGCAGAAGTTTCCTTCTCCAGCTGACAGGGCCAGCTGCCCTGGAACATGCCCTGCTGGCATCTGCTCCATGCTAATCATCTCTTGCTCAACTTGTGATCTGATCACTTGGGAATGGTGCAGGCATCCTTTGGCCTCCATTGCTGACTTGGGCTGCCCGGGCAAACGCCAACCTTGCATTTCAAGGCTGGCTGCCACGTTCTTGTCTTCGACTAGCCTGGCCTTTGTACATCATTCAGGTGAAAACTGCCCTTCAGGTCTGGTGACGGATGAAGCCTGAAAAATATGTATGTCTGACATGGATTAAATGCTGTCTGACTTGAAGGCAAGAGAATGGACAAATGATCTCCAGGGAATCTGTTGTCCTGCAGGTTATAGGACATGTGGTATCTTTTAAAAAACATTTTCAAACCAAAGTATAATAATATACATATAGAAAGGTACAGATATAATAAATATACAGCTTGCTGAATTTTTGCAAAGTGAACACACCCGTACAATCAGTATCCAGATCAAAGAAAAACATTAACACCCCCAAATTCCCTTCCCACCCCCCAATCCCCACTACACTCCCTTCTAGTCACTACCTTCCTAAGGCTAACTACTACCTGGACTTCTAGAACAGTTATTTTGTTTTTGAACTTCATATAAATAGATGAATACAGTAGATATATTCTGTGGTGTCTGGCTTCTTTTGTTCAATGTTATGCTTGAGAGATTTGTTGTGTGTTCCTGTAATTTGTTCATTCCCATTGGGCAAGTATATCACAATGTATTTATCCATTCTATTATTTATAAGCATTTGGGTAGTTTCGTATTTGAGGCTGTTACAAATAGTGCTGCTGTGAATCTCTTGTGCGTATCTTTTGATGCACGTATATTCATTTCTACTGGGTATATACTTAGGAGTAGAGTTGTTGGATCATTGGTAAAACCCATTCTTAGCTGTAGTAGATACTGCTAATCAGTTTTTAAAAAATGGCTCAATCTGTATACCTCCCACCTGCATCATGTGAGCATACTGGTTTCTCCATATTTGGCCAACACTTGGTATTTTCCTCTTTTTCATTTTTGCCATTCTCATAAATGCATGGTGATTTCATTTGCATTTATCTGGTGATCTAATAATTAGGGAAGTTGAGCACCTTTTTATATGTTTATTGGTCATTTTTTTAAAAAATGAAGTGTCCCTTCAAGTCTTTTGCTCATTTTTCTATTGGACTATCTGCCTAATTCTTATTGATCTGTATAAGTTCTTTATGTATTGTGGATACAAGTCCATTGTTGGATACACATATGGAAATATTTTCTCCTATTCTGTGGCATGTCTTTTCACTCAATAGTGTGATTTGATGAGCAGAAGTTCTTCGTTTTAATGTAGTAGATAACATGGATTTTCAGAATAATATAATCAACAGTAGATACTATTTATTACTTGCTTAATGAGTCCTCATATATCTTGTTCATTTAATTTTCACATTAACATATTATTAAATGGAAAAAATGAAGCTGAGAGAAGTTGAGAAACTTTCCCAAGTTAGGAAACAGCAGAGGCCAGATTCATGCCCACCTTGTCCCACTCCAGAGCCTATGTTCTGTGATCTCTGTTATAGCACAAAGGGTACCACTCACTAGCCCCTGATCATTGTCCAGTCCTTGGACGTCCTTACATTCAAGTTTATTGAGTCTTTCCTTGGCTGTGTTCAGTCTCCTGCTAAGGCGCTCTAATAAAGACATTTTCATATCTGATATCATTTGCTGTTTTATTTTATAGCATTTCAATTTTACACTTTTATTTCTGTCTCTCTATGGAAATTCCACATTTTCTCTTTTGCATGAAATTCTTCCTTAACCTATTCATTTTAATTATTTTAAAGTCTTTGATAATTCTGGCATCTAGATCAACATTGGTTTTGTTGTGGTCCTTATTTATTGACAATAAAAATGGGTTTATTATTTTTTTACATGTCTCAAGACCTTTTATTGACTTCTGGACATTGTGTATGAAAGGGCAGTGAGAACCAGGTAAATGGTGTTTACCCCTGGATGTGCTTATTCTCTCTGTCAGGCTGTGAGTGGGGGGAGCAGAGCCAATGTCGTCAGAGGATGAGTTGGTTTGAATTTTGTCATTGCTAGAGTCACCTTCACTGGACCACAGATTTCAGATTTCGTCAGCAGTGGGACGCTGTTTCCATGTGCTCCCTGTAAGCTACGGAGGGCTGAGACTTTGTTCTCCTGTTCCTTTTCACCCTCAGCTCTCAGCAGGCCTTTGCCACAGAGCGGTCTGCCTCCTTCCCCTCCCCAGCAGCAGACTGCTGACCTTGCTACTCGGTGCTGAAGGCTTTCGATTAGAATGGGAGATGGTCCTGGGGTAAGGGTGGGCTTTCCTGACTGTGTGGAACTAAAGGAGCTCTCCCCATTTTCCTGCACTGTCCGTTATCCTCCTCGTGACTGCCGCGTGGTGGTCGTTGCATAGGAATTTATGAATGAGTGCAAGCTCCTCTTGCGTCTGGCGCTCCCAGTTATTCTAACCTGTCATGTTAACCTACACTCATCCTTCTAGAAATTAAAGTTTTCTCTACTTCTTCTCACTTTCATGGCAACCACTTTTCCTCCCATGCTCTGCTAACTGTGAAACTATTTGCGTCTCATCTTTCCTTGGAAGGGCTTCTCTCTCTCTTTTCAAAAGTTAGTTCACCTGGTTCCCTTGCAACCTCCTCCACTACCTGGTGTGTTCGAGAAAAGTTTTGATTTTACAGGTGATCCAGACTTCTCTTGTTGTTAGGGTGGAAGCTACATTTCCCCGCAGTGTTCTGCGTTCTAACTGGGAGCAGCCCCTCTGGTAGTGGATAAAGAGACAGTTCACTATTCTCCTCATGCTCTGTGTTTCCATCAGAGAGTGGGCTAAGCCCCCATGTCGCTCCTGGATCTAACGTCAGAGGCTCCTGAGAAATAAAACACATTGCTTCTCTGTGGGTTACATTTTTTTCCATCAGGTGTCCTGAACCAATACTTATTTCAGAGGCTTCTGTGATAATTTACTAACTGAGGTAGGGATTAAAAAAAAAGATATGGGTTGGTAGATTTTCTTTTTTAAATGAATAGATTAAAAAAATTATAAGAGTAATTCATTAACAAAGTAGAGCTAAAAATACAGAAAGATTAAAAAAAAAAAAACAAAGAAATAAAAATCATCCATAATTTTATTAGCAAAATAAATCATTACTACTTTATCTAATTTATTCTAGTCATTTTTCTGAATGTTGATGTTAGTATATGTACATAAGTGTATATCCTCAAGTATATAATTTGTGTGTTTTGTTTAAATAAGCTTGTTCCAAAAGGTGTGTTTTTCTGTGGGTTTCATGGCACTCATGAAATGATGGTGTGTTATTCATGTTTGTCTGGTGAGGATGCCAAAATTTATGGGATACATTTTGTTTGCTGTTAGGACTGGATTCCTTCTTGTAGTGATCTCACATGAGCATCCAGGACAGGTGTGCGTATGTGATTCCAGTGGAATGTAATTCATTTCAAAAAAGACCAGCTGTTGGTTCATTGTGCTGAGGTCCCCCTTTCCTCGTGTAACTTTCACTACTTTTTACTTATGCTGACCCATGTCACATTTAGAACCAACAGAAATGAGGAAAGTATATAATGCTCTTAATATGTGTTACACTTTCTTTTCCAGGAAGTATTTTGGAGAAAAAATTGGACTGTATTTTGCTTGGCTGGGATTATATACATCATTCCTCATCCCATCTTCTATAATTGGAGTGATTGTGTTTCTTTATGGGTGTGCAACAATTGAAGAAGATATTCCCAGGTAAGACAATTTTAAAGAAAAAGCCTCGATTCCGTGTCAGTAGTTTGGAGTTTCATCTTAGTTTCAAGTACGTTTCACACATGTCCTTCCAAAGTCTTCACCTTCTTCCCTCTTCTTCCCTTACTACACACGTAACTTTTCTCCAGAGACAGGTCTGGAAGCTATAGATTCTGAGAATGGCTTCAGAGTCATGCTGGGCGTGACCCACTTTCTTTCCTAGTCAACGTTTTCTTCAGAGCCAGGATCTGATGTGGGCAGGTGGATCTTGCCTGATGAAAACACTGTGGCTGAGAAATGCTTTTCCCCTTAAACTCATGACTCATGTTCCCCTGGTTTCCTGTAAGATCCAAGGCAGGACATATCAAGTGGTCTTGGGTAGAGATCACGCGTCTTTTGGTCAGACACTGTTGGGATACGATGCTGTGAGGTTGTCTGTAGAAGCAGGCAGCTCTGGAACTGAGGAAGGCTCAGCCTCTGGTTCAGGAGTCAGGAACTGCAGGAGGTGACCATTCCCATGGTGAGATTCGTGGAGAACCAAGAAATGGAACCAAGTCTGGTCCTTATGAGAAAGAGAGAACACTTAAAAAGCATGCTTACTTTTTCTGCTCTCCAGCATCAGGGAAGAACTAATACTTACCAAATACCCACCTTGTGCCAAGCATGGTGCTAGGTGGTTTTATGCAATAGTTTCTTTGATATGCAACATTGTAAACTCTACATAAGTTATTCTTTTCAGCTAAGAGAGATGGATAAATTGATGATAACTGAGGTCATATAACTTGTCCAACTTCAACAACTACTTATTGTCAGGGTTGAGATTTGACCTCTGTTGCCTCTGCTTTTTTCAATAAGCTGTGACGTCTTCCAGAGGGTTCATATCCTCCCCAGCAGCCCAGTAGCTTCAAATGGCCTTGTCTGATGCGTTCTCAGAAAATACGGCTCCCATGTTTTCCTTGCTCAGTTGTGATTCCTGAAGAGCTGACCTCAGGTTGATCAAAACTGGAAATTTCCATACAGTGCTTAAAGAACCAATATAGTGGGTGGGGCAGCCAGTGTGCTGGTTTACATCAGGATTTAGAACTTGTGCCCATATGGGGATACAGATGACAGTGACCACTGCAGCTGAAAATGACTAAGGTCTATAGATGCTGCAAAGACATATGTCTATGCACATGCACACACAGTCATATATGTGCAGATGTATAGGCATGTAAAATGTGGTTATTATCATTGTAGATGTATTATATTATGGGTAACATCCCATAATGTTATAAAAACTATAGGTAGCATCCCATCCATGAATTATGGAATCAATTTAATGGTTATCTTTTAAATGAGCTAGAATAAGATAGGAAAGAGTAGAATGATATATGTTAGTATCATTGCATGACATTTTATTTAGATATATGAGTATGTTTCTGGGAAGATGGTCTGTATATATTTTCATACTGGAATCCAATGTCAAAGACTTTCAAACTGTAGGTCATAGTAAAAAACGTTTGAAGTTGACTGTTATAAAATTGGAATTTCGCCCTGGCCAGTTTTGCTCAGCAGTTAGAGCATTGGCCCACGGACCAAAGAGTTCAGGTTCGGTTCCCACTAAGGACTCATATCTCGGTTGCAGTTTGTCCCTGGCCCCAGTTGGGGTCGTGTGAGTGGTGACCAGTTGATGTGTCTCTCTCATGTCAATGTTTCTCTCTCTCTCTCTTTTTCCCTCTTTCCCTTCTGCTCTGTCTGAAGATAAATGCAAAAAAAGAAAAAAAAAATTGTCCTTGGGTGAGGATTAAATAAATAAATAAATGAATAAAATTGGAATTTTGATGGTCACTTTTTCAGACTCAGGATAGGATGTGGCAAATCAAGAAGATGTAAGTGATATAAAAGGTTAATCATACTGTGAAGAATTTTTTAAAGAACTGCTCTTGAATCAGAATTGTATATCCAACAAAAGTCCAAGCTCTGATGAAAACACAAAATATCACTCCCATTAACAAAGGAATGACCTCCAAATCCCTATACTAAATCTAAACAAATTCGCATTCTTTCAGATTGTGTCTATCCATCACTCCTACATATGGTTAAAAACTTGCACTATTCCTGGAATTACTTTAGAGGTTTCTAATTTGGGCATTAAGCTTGGAAGTTACTATCACTTTTTAAAACCTTTTTAATTTGGAAACATTATAGATTTATAGGAATTTGTAAAGATAGTACTGAGGGGTGCAAGGTACCCTTCACCCAGTTTCCCCTGATTGTTATGTCTTATATAACTACAGCACAAAATCAAAACCAGAAATTTTACATTACATGGAACTTTAAATGGTTTCTTTTATTACCAATAACTTTGATATGTGAGATACAAGTATTATTTGTAAGTAATAATTCCATATGTGCATGGGACGTCTACAGAACTTTCCTCTACTTACCAAGGGATTGGTTTCATTTGTTAGGCATTTGCTTACATGGGTAGGAGAGACTGAAGCATTTTTAAAAAGCTGATTTATCTAAACCATATTGAAAAACATTGGTCACTTTAAGTCTGAACCTTAGTAACAGATGTTCTGTCTGAATTTCCTGAATAATTGCCTCATTGCACCTTCTCTCTGTCTGCGAGCTTGGCTCTGTACCACCTAACTGAGCCACGAGTCACTCATTAGGAACACAAGTCGCTTTGGGTTTTTTCAATCTATGCTTTCCAGAGAAAATGATAGACTGCATAAACACACCATTAGGTTTATAGCCACAGTGGCCTCTAACTAGAAGTCTGTGGATTATGCAGCAAGTAAAGAATCTAGACAGGATTTTAATTCTAGGTGAGCTTCCCCCAGCTTGTCTAGAGGCAGCCTCTCTCAGAGAACACAGTCATTTGAATGTCATCCTGAGGTATAATTTCTTCAGAATTCTGTTCCAATTGCTTGCATCAAAAGACAAACAAAACCAATACAACCCGATTCAATACATACAAAGCATTCTGGCTTCCCATTTAAATACTATGGAGAGTGTCCATTGCCACCGTGGCTGCCAGTTTGTACAAGTGATTGATACCTGACTGTAATCTAATTTTAAAACCAGTAATTGACGTAGCACTTAAGTTTCAAAATGCTTTGCACCAAGTTGGTTGCGGCTACTTTTTCATTCACCTTTTGGCACTGACTAGATTTGATTAACATTAGGCTGACTTGGATTCCCCCGCCCCCCCAATCTATGTGTAAAAAACCTGGAAGAACAAAAGCCCTACTCAGATGTTCTCAGACTCGACTTCAAAGCACAGCCATGTGCTAGAATTTATACAGACCAACAATTTTCTGTGTGACTTTGTTTTCCAAGAGGGAACTCTCCTGTCTGGAAGCAGCACCTCCTTCTCAACTACGCAGCGATCACTTATCTGACCCAGAAGACTTGAAATAAACCTTGCTCTCCAGTGAGCAATAAGAACATGCCCAGGTGTAACTAGCACAGCTGATCTTACTAATAAGATTTTACTCTTGAATATCGTCAGTGTGAATGAGTCACTGCTATTGACACTTGACAATGGAGAGCTTAGCGGCGAGTCCGTGGAGGAACGAGAATTTATCCTCAGAGACTTACAGTTTCCTTTCTCTCATCCAGAAGTCCTTTCCCTGCCGTGGACTTATTAGCTCATTAAAAATGAGCCTGAAAACTGGGGCTTGACAGACAGTGACAACCTTTGGTAAAACCCTTCAACCTCTTGATGAAGGAAAACCAGATGCTGGCATCCCTTTGACTTGGGAGTTAAATCTAAGCACTTGTTTAAGCACACAGGGTACCAGCTTTCTCACCCTGGTGGTGGCCTGCCCCTTGCCAGCCATGCTCTGTAGCACCCTCTACTGCCTCCTTCTGGAGAAAACACAGCTACGTTTGCAGTTTAGGGTTCCCTGCCCTCTCCATCCCTATGTCTCTAGATGCTCCGAACGAACAGCCCATACTTCATTTTCATGAACCATGAGCTCTCCGCCCTTCCCTCCCACAGCAGTCTACTCATTTCCCAGGAGGAGTATTATGCACCAGAATGACATGTTTGTCCATTTTTCTACCAATATTTGGTGTGGAGAGATATTAGGAAGCCAGTTAGAGCTGGTGGTTTCTTGGTTCTTATTTACAAGCACTCAGATGAGACTAAGTTTATTGGATCCAGCTAATCACCTAATGAGTGAATGGAACTCCAAATATATTCATCAATCCATTAAATAGAAATGAACTGAGACTCGGGTAGAATATAGGTGATGGTTATTTGACTCATGCTTCTCCCTCGAAAATCATAGAATCTAGACTTTGGAAGAATTTACCTCATTCTTTCACTTTCCCTAATCTCAGACTCATTTCATGGTCATGATAATTTTTATTAGTTTGAGGTTATTAATCCCCATTCTATAAATGGTCTTGCAGCTGATGTACTTAGGAAAGGTCTTCTGATCCAGATCTGACTTCATTCTTCTTCACATGGCTGCTTCTCCCTGCCATGGACTGGTTAGCTCAGGCTGACTGGGATCCCCTCCCCCCACCCGGTGAAGTAAGAGTTTGTGTTGGTCCAGCCATACACTCATGTTTATTATTCCTTGTGATAGACCATAGATTTAAGACAGCTTATTCTTAAATGATGATGAAATTTAACTTCAAGTGGGTGATTTATTCACAATTGTTGATGCTTCCCACCCACCTCATACACTCCATACATTTTGAAGGGGGTTTCTAAGACATCATTCAGTGTACAATATCTTTGACAGATGGTCACTAAGTTGGGACACTTCTAATGTCAGGGGGCTCCATATATATGTCAAAAGGTGGCCCTTCCACTTTTTTTTTTATCCTCACCCAAGGACACTTTTCCATTTTTTGTTCAGATAGAGTGGGAGGGAGAGAGCAGAAAAGAGAGAGAAACATCGACGTAAAAGGGACACATCGAGTGGCTGCCACCCACATGATCAACCAGGGCTGGGGACAAACTGCAACCGAGGTACGTGCCCTTAGCGGGAACCGAACCCAGGTCTCTGGACCGCAGGCCGACGCTCTAACCACTGAGCCAAACCAGCCAGGGCCACTTTATTTTTTTTGGACAAAATACAAGAATAACACCCTCAAGGTGAAAAATCCAATCCCACCTTCCTTAACACACCTCCTGTATGGTGTTGATAAGCTCAGCCATAGATTCAGAAGTGGGAGATGATTTGGGGGAGATTTGTTTGGGGTGAATCCTGCATGAACTCCATCTGACCCAGTAACCTCTGTCTACTGCAGCAAAGAGATGTGTGACCAGCAGAATGCCTTCACCATGTGTCCCCTGTGTGACAAGTCCTGTGACTACTGGAACCTTAGCTCAGCCTGTGGTACAGCGCGGGCCAGCCACCTGTTTGATAACCCTGCCACTGTCTTCTTCTCCATCTTCATGGCTCTGTGGGGTAAGATATAGTAATGCTAACCTTGTATTAGTCTCATGTATGATTTATTCGGAATGTGAACTGATGCATATTTTCAAAATCCCTAGTACACTCATAATGCACCTCCAAGAACATCTTCTAAGACATATAAATTCATAGCTATCACCCAAAATAACACTCAGAGTGGTGGGATCATGGCCATGGTCACAGAGTTAGCTGGTGGCAAAGACGGGCCTAAACCTGGTCTTCTTACTCTAAGTTGTGTAATTTCTCAGTTATCGTGAGTGTAGACTGTAGAGATTTTACTTAATACCAGAGTAGTGTTTTCAATATTCCCATTTTGTGAAAGGATTTGTGAAGGAAATAATAAAGAATTTCCTTCATTTTTTTCTCCTCCCTTCTGCCCGTCTCATCCCAGAATATCAGGGTCATAAACTTCTCTAGGCCATAGCCATCTGAACACACACACACACACACACACACACACACACACACACACTTCTATTTTTACAAACTGGGATAACCTGGAATAACAACCTTGTGGTAATTGAGCATTTCCAAGAAGGCACACCCACATATATTAAAAAAAGGGACAAAAGCAACATGTTTCAGCCCGTCTTGAGTAGCCACCTGCTTTGTACTCATCACAGATGTGCAAGCCCTTAGCTTTCCCATTGGATCACAGACCAGCAGGGCCATGATGCTTCTGCAGAGGCTGTTTGATTTATCACTGACACCATGGGGCCTGGAGGATCTGCCAGGATGGGGCTGTGAGTCACACCTCTGAAAGTGTGAGGAGGAGACAGAGAGAGGTCTGTTTTCAGTGGTGTTTGGAGCAACTGTCCTCCATTCCCTCTAGGGACCTCTACTTGGGTGGAGATAGAACCAGACTGGAAAGATTCTCGTATTCCTAGGCCACCAAGAACAATGTCCAGGGATACTCTATTCTCAGGGAGAATAGCTGCTGCCCAGGGCACATGGGCAATGGTTAGCTCAAGAGAATGGGGACAGGGAGCAGGAGAAAATGGCACTTGTGACCATATAGTTCTGGGAATGTTCACAGGAAGGGTCAGTTAAACAAACTGAGGTTGAAGTGTGTTACATGGGAAGTCATAGGCAGCTTGTCTCCTGGTCAAGCAAGGGCATCTTATAATTACTCCAACATCCACTTGAACTGCCTTGGAACTCGGAATATGCATTCATCTTTTGATATATTGCAACCCTAATGCAATTAATTTAATTTGTCTTGCAGATATTATGATAATTGAATAGCTGAAGCTTAGTAATATTGGGTCTATAATCCTTAAGAACTTTGATGAGTTGCATAATTCCTTGTTTGTAGAAACACATGGTTTTCAATTTTACTTGCCCACTTTCAAGCCCCAACAACTGCCTCATCTTTCTCAATAGCTGTAATGAACAGATACCTCTCACTCCTCCTCAGATCCCCAATAATTTACTACCATACCCTGGCTCCTCTCTCTTCCCCTCAGATAGTAGTGCAAAGAAAGAAAAAGGACTGTGTCAAAACTTCCTGGCAAAAGGTAGTTTTTTTTTTTTTTTTTTTTTTAATAGCTTTGCTGTGTTTTATGTGATTGTATATTTGGTTATAGCAGCCAGAGCCCCTGGGCATGATTGCCTACATATTACAATTAAGAAGAATAGTAATGCCTCTCGTTACCATGATTATTATGATCAGTGGTGCTTTGCTGGGTGGGCCTGGGTAAGGGCCCAAGCCTGCCAGGAATAAGGCTGGGAAGAAAAAGTAGTTCTCCACAGAGAGAGACTCAGGCTTTTATGGAGTGGGAGAGGACGTTGCTGAGACAGGGGGTACATGGACGGTACTAATCAGGAAGACCTGGGTCTGTTGGAGTCTTCAGGCCCAGTCCCTCTGCTGTTCTGGCCTCAGACTCCAAGGAACTTTGGAAAAAGCGTGAAGCCCTATAGGGAAGGGAAGGGAAGGGAAGGGAAGGGGAGGGGAGGGGAGGGGAGGGGAGGGGAGGGGAGGGGAGGGGAGGGGAGGGGAGGGGAGGGGAGGGACAGGGTTTCTAAACTCTTTTTTGACTTAAGGGAATCCTGCCCTTCCAGCTGTGGATCCCACAGCAAGCCAATGTGAATCAGTGCTGTGTCACTAAGTCAATACACTTAGCCAAGGTGCCATGTAACCTGGGGCACGGTACTTAACCTTTGAGAATCACTGTCCTCATCTGTAAAATGGGTGAAGTAATACCCACCCCATAGTGTTCTGTGACAATTGAGTGAGATATGTGTGTAAAGCACATGGTACCTACCAGGAACTGTGAGCAACTCTTCCTCATTATCATGGCCCTCCCTTGTCCTCATAGCTCCTCTTTCAAGGACTCCTTTGTCCCTCATGGTCGTTTCCTCGATCTGGCTTCTGTCCTTCGTGGACCTTGCAGTCAGAAGCACGCTGAGCCCTGCTGTGTGCAGACCTCTCCTCAGGTGCCGAGAAGAGCACAGGAAGAGGAGTGACATTCCCCTTGGTCCCATTGCATCCCCTGGGCAATGCCAGTGTTGGGAGGTCAAAATGCACTTGCACAAAAAAGCCTTAAATCCTAGGAGGAAATGTACAGATCAATACATTGTCATGTCGCACCAAGTAAAACAAATGAAACCTTAAGTAATTGTATATTTAGCCAGTCCCTGGTGTTTATTATGCTTCCTTATGTGCTGTGCTCAAGGTAAACAGAGGTAGCTAGGAGCTAAAAAAGAGTTTATGGATCTGTTACTACTCTACAGACTGAATGGCAGCCAGAAATCCAGCTCAGCATGCAATGAGGGCACCCAGACTCTTATTGGATGTGGTTTAGAGTGTAGGGGTGACCTCAGGGAGGGTTATACTCCTTCCCTTTCCAGGGCAGCAGACCTTAAGGGCAATTAGAGTGTGGGGGAGAGGGTGCCCTTGAGCCTGATCTTATGGAAGAAGTGGGACAGGAGCTGGTCAGGAAAGGATGAGGATAGAAATTGGTGGCAGCATAGGAGAGGGGGACAATTTGCACAAGTTGGGAATGAAGAAGTCAGGGAGGAGATAGTGGCAGCAGCAATGCAGGTTTAGGTGTATTTTGATAAATGGTGGGAACAGATGTAGACAGATGGGCCTGGCCAGATATGCAGGGTTCCAATATCCGGAGAGAACTTAGGCCATAAAAAGCCATTGAAAATTTCAACGGGGTGGGAGATATTAGCATCCATCCTCTCTCTACCCTTTCTTTCTTTTTGTTAATCCTCACCTGAAGATATTTTTTTCCACTGATTTTTAAAGAGAGTAGAAGGGAAGGAGGGAGAAAGAGAGAGAGAAACATTGATGTATCTCTACATATCAATTGGTTGCCTCCTCCTTTATGTGCCTCAGTTGACTGGGGATTGAACCAGAGATCCTTCAGTGCATGGGCTGAGACTCTAACCACTGAGCGACAATGGCCAAGGCTCCATCCTTTCTTCACTGTCTGAATGCTCTTGTTCTTCAGCCTTGACTCAGATGCCTTCTCTGGCAGTTAGCACTCCCTCTCCTGCATGTCCACAGCTTTTTACCGATGTCCTTCTTTTTTTTTTTTTATCCTCACCCGAGGATATTTTTCCATTTTTTGTACAGATAGAGTGGGAGGGAGAGAGAGGAAGGGAGAGAGAGAGAGAAACATCGATGTGAAGGGACACATCGAGTGGCTGCCACCCGCACGACCAACCAGGGCCGGGGACAAACTGCAACCGAAGTACGTGCCCTTAGCGGGAACCGAACCCGGGTCTCTCCGGACCGCAGGCCGACGCTCTAACCGCTGAGCCAAACTGGCCAGGGCCCGATGTCCTTCTTAAGGCCTGATCACTCTGTGCCTTGTATTGTAGTTATTTATAATCTTTCTCCATAAACTGTAAACATCTTGAGAGCAAAATCCACATCAGAATCATCTTATCTCCTTCATGATGCCTTGAGTAGGATTTTATGTTGCAAATACCTTAGTCGAGCCTAGTTCCTTTTTCAGGATTAAAAATTCTTTCAAGTTTGCTCAAATAACAAGAGATGTATTGTAATAAGGCAAAAGGCAAACTCTTCGTTTCTGCCTTTTCTGCTTCTCTTTGTGTCTCTTGGTTTCAATTTTCCAAAGAGAGTCTGGTTCATTGGAAGGCTCTAGATCAGATGTTCAATCCTGGTATCATAAACCATAGCTGTAGAGTCGAGGGTGTTGGTCTTTCTGGAGCATGTTAGGCTGGCCCTTCAAGTGGCTGTGGTCAGAGCAGGCAGACTGACTGATGTGTACATATGGTAGGCATTCAACAAATGGCTAAGAAATGGATGAATGAATGAATGCCACATAAGAGAGATTAGTGTATCAGCTGCATGCAAAATGGACTCTGAGGGCCCATGGAAAGGAAGTGATGCTGGAGACAAAAAAAAAAAAAAAGAGGAGAAAAAGGTGAGAGTGTTGAGAAAGGTGCAGGAAGAAAGAACATATGCATCGACACAATGACACATGTAAAAAAAAAAACTACAAATTCTTTCCTTCTTATTTTCTTTCTTTTTTTTTTTAATCCTCACCCGAGGACACTTTTCCATATTTTGTTCAGATAGAGTGGGAGGGAGAGAGAGAGAGAAACATCGACGTGAAAGGGACACATCGGGTGGTTGCCACCCCACAACCCAACCAGGGCCGGGGACAAACTGCAACTGAGGTACATGCCCTTAGCGGGAACCGAACCTGGATCTCTCTGGACCAGAGGCAGATACTCTAACTGCTGAAACAAACTGGCCTCCTTCTTATTTTCTTGATTCTGACATCCTCCCTCACTTCCTGAGGTCAATGTTTACCCTATCTCATAACATAGAGGTGGGGAAAGGTATGTGTGTGTCCCTTTAAATATATCTACTCAGCCCTGGCTGGTTTGGCTCAGTGGTTAGAGTGTCAGTCTAGGGGCTGCTGTGTCGCGGGTTTGATTCTTGATCAAGGGCACTTACCTGGGTTGCAGGTTTGATCCTCAACTCTGGTTGGGGTTGTGTGGGAGGCAACTAATCAGTGTGTTTCTCTCACATCGTTGTTTTGTTTTGTCCCTCTCTCCCTCCCTTCTACTCTATCTAAAAATCAATGGAAAAATATCCTTGGGTGAGTGTTAACAAAAACAAACAAACAAACAAACAAAATAAATAAATATATCTACTCTTTCCTTAAGGATGTATAATATTTAGAGCATTTTCAGATAGAAGCAGGAGGAAGGAAATAAAGCTTTAAAGAGAACTTCTAAATTTGAATTCTATAAGTTTATTCTCTACCACCACTGTTGAACTCAAAGAGGACTCAAATCCACTCTTAAAAATTAACGGAATTTTCTCTTTCCTTTCAAGCTACCATGTTTCTTGAAAACTGGAAGAGATTACAGATGCGACTCGGCTACTTCTGGGACCTGACTGGTATAGAAGAGGAAGAAGTGAGTTCTTTTGATTCTTGAGTCCCTGCTTTGCTTTGATCCTACAAGTAGACCATTTTGAGTGAGATAACCACTTACACGTACTGTCACATCAGCCAGTCCCTGGCCAGGTCTTACTGTGGCAGCTCTCTAGCTTGACTTCATGGGCTAAGCCATGGTTGATGTGCATTGAGACCAAGAATTCAAGTTCCCTCTCTACTCTTGAGCTGTAAGACATTGGGCCTGGTGTGTAGCCAGATGTCCCAGTGTCCCCCTCTGGGAAAAAGAGATGGCACAAGAGGCAAGCCTTGTGGTAGCCTTGAGATTTCACTCAACATAATTCTATATCCTGTGTCACTGGTTCTAGTGAGCATAAATTCAGAGAGTAGGAATTGCTCCCAAAACAGGAAATGTCACATTGCCCTTGTGAGTCTACTGAGATACTGATTGTCTTTGATGCCTATGGAAGAAGAAAACCACTAGACCTTCACAGTGTAAGCCAGTACACCATGTGAAACTGGAGCATGAACTAAAGGTAAACTGTAGGTTGTTCTAGAACTTAGTTTTATGGACAGATGACGGAGGGTTGGGCAAAAGTAGGTTTATAGTTGTGAGTACGTAAAACACAGAGTTTATTCTGGTATTATTATTTATTAATTATTGTATTATTTTCCATATGAAAAGCTGCAAACCTGCTTTTGCTCCACCCTGTATTTAAAGGATGGAAACAAATCAGCCTTTCCCCAAGAATCATTTGAGAACTAGGGTCCCAGTCCTGATGCTGGTGACATGACAAGGAGCAATTTGACATGGTTGTTCACAGTTATCTATTTCCACATGCTACCATTGACTGAAGAGCAAATGTCATTATCAGATAGGTGCTCCTGATATTGTGGACATTGTGGATGCAGTGCTGGGGACAGTGTCAAGAAAGACCAGGTGGCACTTCCAAGTACCTAAGTACTCACTTGCAAAGGATGACCACAAGCAATACGGTGGCTGCATGGAGAGCAGACCTTTTCCTCACTATTCTACAGTAATTGATGTGCCTTGCCTTGGCCACAGGACCTCTGACTTTGTGTTCCTGATGTTTATGGCCAAGCAAATAAAATCCCCAATTTAGTCTTGTTTTTGAGACTAGGTGGCTCCCCATGTCTGTGGCGTGACATGATTTCTTCTCCTTAGTGTTCTAATTAGTTAGCTTGTCTTTGAGCATATGGGTATGGTAATGTACTGAATATATATGCTTCCTCTATCCAGTCCTTTGTGTTAAGCATATGCCCCAAGACTAATAACATCATGGATTCCATAACAAATGAGAGCATATACATATGGTTCTGACTTTAGAGAGGATGGAGTATTCAGAGGAGGCCACACACGCTATGAGGTCCCAGGAACACCTAGGGCCTGACTGACAGAAGTTAATTGGACAAGAGAGACACACTGAGCTGAAGATTTCCCTACTTCTAAGCAAAAGACTCTTAAGGTCTGGCAAGTCTCCCTTCAACAAGCACAAACAGGACTCAAAGGAGTCTTTCAACAAGACTCTCGGTGGGTTTGGTTGTTCCTTGGAGATTGGGCGATGATGGTGGGCCTTAAAACACTTAAATAGCATCATCTCCTGTTGTATTGGTTATGTTTATTAGTCACATGAATGGTTTCTCCTTTCCAATATCATGGCACATCTTGGGAAAGTCAAAGACAGGCCAGGAGCCTAGTGTGTTGCGTTCTGGAATCTCTGATGAAGTTATAATCCTTGCCTAGAAGTTATTGGTAAATGATGCAGGAACATGAAGTCCTCACACCTGTAGATATTTGTCTTTGGATACTACAGGGAAGATTTGCCAATGAGGCCAGGTGTGTACTGTAAAATTCCCCTTGAAGTAAGTCATGTGTCTTCCTGCTCCGGCATCTGCCTTGATTTGACCATGGTCTTCTTGATTAGTTAGGTGTGCTTTCCCATGCCTTGTGACTCACTATTCACGTTTGTATTACTGAATGGCTCAGTGATGTCTCTAGAGCACTAGTGTACTTGCCAATGAGTTAATCACTTAGGCTGTGCAGGAAACAGGTCCAGGCAAGTGATTTTTAAGGTTCCCTATGGCCACTTTTAACTTTGATTTTTATTAGTTGCCATTTTAGCTTATAGAATACTGGAACAGGGAGGAAGTTTTGTCGTTGCCCTAACTCCCAGCTGTGGGGCACATCTGTTTCTCCAGCTGGGATCTGGCTCATTGAAACTTAAAGTTTGAGGTATGCAGATAGCTGGTGGGATGAACAGATGTATCTCTCTGCCTTTGGTCAAACTGCTATTCAAAGCATGTGGTTTCTCTTTGTATCAGCTGCTGAGTTAACACTTCTTCTCTCCTTTCTCAACACTGGCGCCATCTCCAGGAACGTGCCCAGGTTTGGTTTTCAGTGTGGTAACAAATGTTGTGTGTCCCTTCTCTGTCCCACATTGTGTTCCTGGTCTAGACTCCTCGTGACTGTATGTGGTGTGGCAGCTCATGTCCACTAGAATCCGATCCTAAGTCCTCACTTTACTACATTTGTGGTGTCTGGTTATAGCCCACAGGCCAAAATCGCTCTTCTGCCTGTTTACTAACCAGTCTTTGACTCTTGGGTTTTAGGAACACTCCCGGCCTGAGTATGAAACCAAAGTTCGAGAAAAAATGCTAAAGAAGAGTGACAAATCGGTTGTCCAGAAATTGGGGACCAACATGACTGAGCGTGAGGATGAGGTAAGATGCTGGTGCTTGTTGGTCACTGTCCTCTTTATTTCTTGAGATCCAGTTGACATTCCATTGGGAACTCCTTCCTGGACAGAGACTGGGCTGTGAGAAAAGGTTGACACGGGTGAGACAGGATGGAATAACAGCATGACATCTTTGTCCTGCAGTCACAGCTCACGTATAGTGGGGTTTGCCATGATTTGATTTGTCTCTCTTTCCTGGGTGGTATCTGGGCAATATCTGAGAGCAGGTTGGAGAAGAAAGAAACAGTTGTCAGGCCTGGCTTTTCTAGACTCCATCACATAAATATCTGATAATAATAATCACCCCCACCTTACCAACCAGTACAATGACAGCTAACCTTTATTGAATGCTTGCTCCTAGGCTAGACACTGTTTTAAATGCTTTATATTATTTTATTCTCACAATAAATTTATGAGGTGGACACTGTTGTTATATAAATGAAAACAAATGAAAAAAATTATGTCCAGAGATTAAGTCATTTGCCAGAGGTCACCCAGTGAGTAAATGGTGAGGGGGTGGGTAGGAACCTGGGATTCCAACCCAAGTTCATTGCCGACAGTCTGTACATCTAACCACTTTGCATACTACCTTTCAAATGCAATGGGGAAGTCAAAGGATAAAGAAAGAAATGGCTCTTAGGGTAGATTCATACCTACATTTGCTTGAGCTACTCATATAATGTTCCTTACATTTCATCTTACCTGTGTAGACCTCCAAAAGTAGGAATATGATGGTGAACATGGTGTCTGAGTTATATTTCTGAGTTTTATGGTGGCATTCAGACATTAAAACAGAGCTTCAAAATCTGTGTTGTGATCTGTAAATACTCATGGTGTATGTGAGGTGGGGGTACAGTGTGGGGCTCCAATTTAGCGGTGCCTGTCTCCTCTAAGTGCCACCCTTCTTTGAAACCGAGAGAACAAGAGCAAGAATGAGAGTGAGCGGGAGAGAGAGAGAGAGAGAGAGAGAGGGAGAGAGAGAGAGAGAGAGAGCGCGTGTGTGTGTTTATGTCTTTCCTAATCTGGTTCCTGAAAAAAATCAACAGGATTGAAAATCTGTTGTTTTTTACATGTCTTTTCTCCATCTTGGATTTGAATTCAAATTTTATTTAATTTTACATTCTTAAAGTTGAAACCATCCATGTTAACATGCAAATTTATTCAAGCATCAAAACAGAAGAATGTGTTGTTTTTGAGCCCAGACTAGCTTTTTTTTTTTTTTTTTTTTTAAGAAAACAAGACTTTGAAGAGAAAGAGGGTGGCCCTTTGAGTTATTTTTTCTAGACAGAAAGTTAAGTCCAGGACCACCAGTTATTTAGGGAAATAATGAATTCATTCTTAGGAAAGACTAATCATCACCACCACCCTCATCAGAAAGCAAGCATTCTGTGTCCTGTCTGCTTCGGCAACTCCATGCTACCTTTTTCCTCCACCCCAGAGCAATATACAATGGATAATTTTATGGAAATCACATGTAACTTTTATTGACCACTGACTCATTTAATTTTAATTCCATAGACGGGAATGCCAAGGAGCTGGAATTGCGTACATTGAGGCTGTGGTTCTAATACAAACCTTGTTTGGATATATATGCATGATAGGTCAAGTAACTCTTAGGAACCATGAATAATTGAAAAACATCTGAATGCATTATGAATGATACATATGTTTATGTTTTAGCATTCAGCATCTATTTTCATTACTCTGTTGAGAATGCAAAGCTTAAAGCATCTAATGCCTTTTGGGCACCGAGGTGGGGGGGATGACCTTCCCAAACGAGCAGTGTAAGATAAAAATGGCCTAGAATTTGATTGTTAGCATCCTTCTGTGTTCCCTCAGTTCTGTTAATACTGTAAATGTTTCTGTTTTTGTTGTAAATCTAGCCAAAGATGGGGGATGAGGAAGGGAGGAGCACATTGTACGGCCTGATGGGAGGGAGGCTGCTCTTGTCTACGGGAAGAGTTGTGGTCATGACATGGCTCTGGGGGCACCATCACGTGTGGGATATTTAGGAAAGCTACCTCCCTCTAAGGAATAGACAGGGACTAAGAATCAAAGTCTAGCAGTGAGTCTTCAATGGGCTTCTTTCATACCAGAGGATTACCTTGACTCTGCCTTCATGGTAATCCTGAGGCTGCATGTATCTCCATCTCTCATTACATCCCTTGTTTTTGCATGATAAAAAGCTACCATTCAATGAGGTCCAGAGTGGTATAGGAACTTGCTGAAGACCACATGGCTGGTTGTGGGGGAGCTGGTAATCAAAATCAGCTCTGCCTGATCTCCAAGGCCCATTCCTTGTTTTTTCATCTTCTAATTTTAAAGATATCAAGTCTACTTTTAAAAACATCTCTATTGAGATTTAATTCTTAGAACATAAGAGTCACCCATTTAAAGTATATAATTCATGATTTTTAGTACATTCACAGATTTGTGCATTCATTGCCACGATCTAAGTTTCAAATATTTTTATCATCCCCCAAAGAAACCCTAGATCCAATAGTTACCAAGTCCTGGGAAACAACTGCTCTACTTTCTGTTTCTATAGAGTTGCCTATTCTGGAATTTCATATAAATGGAATCATGCAAAATGTGTTATTTAGCTTCTTTCACTTAGCAAAATGTGTTCACGATTTATCCATGTTGTAGCTATATCAGTACTTCATTTTTTTTTTTTTTTTATTGCCAAGTAATGTTCCATATTTTGGATATATTTTATTTTGTTTAGATATTCACCAGTTGATGGACATTTGGATGGCTTCCACTTTGGGGCTGTTATAAATAATATTGCTATAAATATTTGTGTACAAGTTTTTGTGTGGATGTATGTTTTTATTTCTCTTGGAGATATATATATATATATATATATATATATATATATATATATATATATATATATATATGGAAATACTGGGTCATATGGTAACTCTATGTTTAACATTTTGAAGAACAGCCATACCAATTTCCAAGGTGATTGCACCATTTTACATGCTAGCCAGCAACTCATGAGGGCTCCACTTTCTCCACATCCTCACCAACACTTGATATCTTTTTTGTTTTATCCATCTTAGTTGTGTGAAGTGGTATTTCATTGTGGTTTCAATGATCATTTCCCTAATTACTAATGATGTTGACTATCTTTTCCTGTACTTATTGGCCATTTGTATGTCTTCTTTGAGAAAACGTCTATTCAAATCCTTGCCCATTTTTTTTTTCAGTTGGATAATTGTGGGTTTTTTTAAATTATTTTTTACTCATTGTTAATAGAGTTATTTACCTACTCTTGACACCAGTCCCTTGTCAGATAATATAATTTATAAATGTTTTCTCTCATTCTATGGATGTAGAACATTTTTGTTGATGATTTAAGTTGAAGCACAAAGATTTGTGATGTAGTTTAATTTGTCTGTTTTTCCTGTTGTCACTTGTGCTTTTGTGTCATATTTAAGAAACCATTGCCTAACCCAGTGTCACAGAGCTATACATGTAGGTTTTCTTCTACGAGTTTTAAGTGTAAGTTCTTAGATTTAGGTCTATGATCCATTTTGAGTTCGTTTTTGTGTTTGACGAAAATAAGAGGTCCTCCAATTTTTTTTTTTTTTTGCATTTGGATATTCAGTTGCCACAGCACATCTTTTGTTAAATTTGTTAATAATTATTATATTCTTTTTGACCTTATTACAAATGTCATTTTTTTTTAAGGGAGAGGGAGATAGAAATATCGATACGAGAGATAAACATTGATCGGATGCCTCCTGCACACCCCCTACTGGGGTTGGAGCCCGAAAGCCAGGCATGTGCCCTGACCAGGAATAGAACTGGGACCTCTCAATTCATGGGACAATGCTCAATCCACTGAGCCACACCGGCTGGGCTGTCATTATTTTCTTAATTTCAATTTTGGAATATTTATTGCTAACATATAGAAATATGATTGATTTTTGTATATTGATTTTGTATCCTGCAACTTTGCTGAACTCACTTATTAATTCTAATAGTTTTTAGTGGATTCCTTAGGATTTTCTATTTAGTAGATCATCTCATCTGTGAATAGAGATAGTTTTACTTTTTTTCTAATCTGGATGCATTTTACTTTATTATTTTATTATATGTGCCTAATTGGCCTTATTAGAATCTCTTGTACAATGTTGAATAGAAGTGATGAAAACAGAGTTTCCTGACTTATTCTTGATCTTAGGAGAAAAAAATTAGTTTTTTATCATTAACTATGATGTTAGCTATGGCACACTACCTTTTTTGTTCTTTTCTAAATCTTCACCCGAGGATATGTTTATTGGTTTTTAGAGAGAGGGGAAGAGAGAGAGAAAGAGAGAGGGAGAGAGAGAGAGAGAAACATTGATGTGAGAGAGAAAGAAACAGTAATCAGTTACCTCCTGTACATGCCCACTGGGGATCAAACCCAAAACTTTGGTATGTGCCCTGACCAGGAATTGAACCTGCAACCTTTTAGTGTGCGGGGCAATGTTCCAACCAGCTGAACCACCTGGCCAGGGCCACACTGCCTTTTAACTCTTTTTATGAGGCTTCCCTGAGAACAATTCGTGTCGCATCAACATAATGCTGATCTGAAATGATACGTTCTAACTGTAACGGGGTGATAACTACATGTCCACACTGGGGAAGGGCAACAGAAATAAGGTTCAAAGGTTGGCTGGCTCGTGGTGCTTTCACCAGATAGCTGAGTCCTTCTCTGGGTCTGTTCTGCCTCAGTTATCAGATGGGGAGATTGGATTCTAGCCTTTGTAGTTCTGAGAGTTTGTGATTTTTTTTTTTTTTTTAGCTGATGTGAAAGATGATGTTGGTTATTAGCCCATAACTTTGGGGGATAGACTGTCTCTTTATATTAAGTGGTGGTAATTTGGCTATTCTTATACCTATTTTTATGATTTTGAAGGGTATGGGCATAGTAAATGGTAATGACAATAAAATTACAAGTAATATTTATGGAGTGCTCACTATGTGCAA